GTTTGAACCTGTGTCCCTGTCTCGGGTCAGGGCTGTGCTGGTTCATCTGCTGCCTTCTCTCCCCAGGCTGCCTATCTAGCAGCCACTGTCATCTCATTCTGCCCTCAGGTCAGGCCCAACTCAATCAGCATTGGTTTACTATGAAATGTCCAGAGTCATTTTACTCATCGTGTCTGTCTCAAAGCACTCCAGGAGAAAGTTTAAATATTATTTCTGGCTCCTTCAGCCACTAACTCTCATGATGTTTTCAAGGAAGCTTCTATGCTGCTCTGTAACGTGTTTTTCAGTGATTTACGTTGACCTAAAAACATTGCAGTAAAAAAAAAAAAAAAGAAAAAATTATTTTGTTTGTGCTTTCAAGGCGTTTCTGTGTGAAATGACCTGATGTTCGTGGAGCTGTGGCACAGCTAAAGCAGCAAAGGTTGGGTGTGGGGTACCTGCCAACACAACCATGCTGGGGTGATAAATACACTTCAGCACATGGGCTGGGAGCATTTTGACTAATGAAAGGTTGTTAGCATTTCCCTGTGGTGGTTTGTGCTTGGAGGGCAGTGACTGAGGCTCTTGGCATCGCTGGCTTGCCAAGGAAGCGGCGGTGGGATGGTGGGACTGTTGTTACACCAGAGGCTTTTAGCCAAAAACTAATGACACGGAGGCAAAACCAGCAGTCTGCAGTCTGTTATCTTTAAATAGCACAGTGAATTATACATGTGCAAAAATACAGCAGGTACTGCAGGGCTGGCTCACACCCCTCACAGGCACTCTGATACTTCACTGACTGCTCCAGTCCTGTGCCTGGTTTGGCTGGGGTAGAGTTACTTTTGTTGGCAGTGGCAGGTATGGGTCTGTGTTTGGGATTTGTGCTGAGCACAGTGGTTATAATAGAGATGGTTTTGTTACTGCTGAGCAGGGCTTACCCAGAGCCAAGGCCTTTCCTGCCCCTCGTACGGCCACGCTGGGGAGGGGGCTGGGGCTGTGTGGGACAGTGGGAGGGGACACAGCCAGGGCAGGTGACCCCAACTGATCCAAGGGGTACTCCATACTGTATGATGTCATGCTCAGTAAATAAGGTGGGGGGACGTTTGGAGCAATGGCTTTGTCTTCTCAAATAACTGTTACATGTGATGGGGCCCTGCTGTCCTGGGGATGGCTGAACACCTGCTGCCCATGGGAAGCAGGGAATGAATTCCTTTGCTTTGCTTATGTGTGTGGCTTCTGCTTCACCTACTGACCTGTCTTTATCTCAACACATGAGTCGTCTCACTTTTACCCTTCTGATTCCCTCCCCAGTCCCACTGGTGGGGGAGTGAGCGAGTGGCTGCTGGGGCTTGGCTGCTGGTTGGGGTTAAACCACGGCAACATGAGATCTTTTTGTTCTGAAAGTCTCAACATCAGACTAAATTTAGTCCTGTAGAAATCAATAAATGGCTGCCAACTTTCACACAAGGGCAGAGCAAGGTCAATGTTAAATGTTTCTGGGCAATCTTGCCCATGGTTTCAGGCTCTTTGCTTCTCCAGTTGGGAATGACATGATGAGAAACTTTCCACTGCTTTAAATATTAAGGAATCTCTGAAAATACTTAGAAACAATTAACTCAAAACGTTCTCTGTTTTGGGGTTTAATTTTTTTTTGAAGTACAGTATGTTCTTCTGCAGATTTTCATCCAATCTACACGCTGGTGTCCCAGAGGCTTCTTTCTGTGGTGCATTTGTACACCTATAATGAAGAATGTCCAGGGGCACACAGACATGTAAGGCAGACCGAGGTGGAGTGTCAGTTTTTAGTTTTAAGATCAGTGGGTGAAGGGCAGCTGAGGATGAGCCGTTTGTCTGTTGGAGCACAGAGAAAAACAACAGTTCTGCACATGGCACTGGGCACCACGGGGGAACAAACACTCTTTACATTATTAAGTTGTGCACAACCAGCTGGGAATTATGTAAAACTTCACGAAAATATTTTCTTTGTCTCAATAGAACATGTGAAAATAAGTTGCTTTTGGAGATTTTCTTTGTGTCAGGCTACTACACTTCCTACTAAGCTTTTTCACACATTTCTCTGCTAACAGAACAGGGCAACAAGCTTATGGAAATGCAGTTGGGTCTTCCTGGTATTTTAATTTAAATGAGCATTTCAGGGGCTTGGGAGGAGGGGATATGTTTGGTGTTCTGTGTATAATAACAAGTTGTAACTTGGTTGTTCAGCAAAATAAACCAGTTTAGTATTGCTACACCAAAGCCCAAAGTGCCAATAAAACAGTGGGAAGCATTCCTACAGTGAGGACAAGTGTCCTCACTCGGCAGGACTCTGTGGGTTGGATCTGCTCCCTGGGACCCGTCATGCTCCAGCAGGCTCCAGCTGAGCAGTGCTTTGCCTGGCCAAGTCCTCGGGCAGTGCAATAGGGCTGAAGGGGTGTGAGAGGCTTCCCAGTGCCTCTCCTGTGGTGGGAGAGCCCAAGGGGCTTCATCCCAATGGGACAATGCCCACAGATAACCAGGCTGTGCACCACAGGCTGGGGGATCATCTGAGCACACAGCCTAAGGAGGTGGATGCTCTCCAGCTTTGCCATTGTACAGGATTCAGGTGAAAGCACAGGTTTTCCAAGTTGTTTTTTTTTTTTTTTAATATATATATGGTGCTTTTACAGTGGAAATAATTTAAATTGTGTTTTTATTCAGTAGTGGTCTCTGTGGATGGTGTTTGGCTGTAGACTCCCTGCTCTTTGCTCTTCATCAGTCCAAAATAAAAAATAAACATGTTGCTGCAGGAATGAACCTGCACCCCTGTGCCCATTCCTGGGGGGTGAGTTAATTCCCACCCAATAAGCTCATGTCTGATACATATGAGTGAACCTGGACTGAGAGTGGCCACGTGTGTGAGGGAAGGGAAAGAACAGAAAATTACAAGAGTTTGATACATTCATTTGTCACAGCTCACAGGGAAAACAGAAATGGATTCCTTAAGGTGAAAAGAACAGGCACTTAAGTGACACTATTCTGTAAATTCTAGCACTTTTGGCAAGGGGCAGGCAGTAATCAGAGCCATTCAAATAAATAAATTCAGAGATTCATAGTGCCCAAGGCCAGCACAGACCATTGTGATTATTTCCTCTGACCTTCCCCATCGTGTGGGTCATGGAGCACCTTTTATATAGCTATATATTTATATATAGATATTGAGTGCCAGTTCAGGGAGCTTGGCTTGATTTTATCCAATTCAAAAATCAGACTAGCACAGATCAAGAGCAAGCACATGGAAATTACACTACTACAAACAAACTCGTAGGAAAAACCAGGCACACATACACACAGCTTTTGGGGAACAGCACATTTGAGTCACCAGCTGCTGAAGAAGTGTTTCAGACCTGTGTAACTAAGGAAGTAAAGGGAGCTGTTACTGTTCCATAGACTATTATAAAAAATGGTTAAATGTGCCTTGTGTGCGTGTCTGAAAACCTCTGCTACAACAAATTTAAGGAACAGGAATGCTGTAAGTGTAGAGTGTGCCAGAGTACCTGCCAGGGGAGGGGGGTCAGCGAGCCCCGTGTGTGATGGGCAGTGCCTGGGCACAGCCTGGGTCAGTACCTGCCCTCGGAAACCAGAACTGCACCCAGGCACTGCAGTTTGCTTTGCAATTTTATCCTCTGTGACTTGGGCAGTGCGTTCATTTCCCTGACCTCCCCGGCAGTTCTGAGCCCTCCTGAGAGCCCAGGGCAGCACTGAGCCCCAGTCACCACCTGCCCTGGGGGTGGTTTGCAGTCACCAGGCCGTGTATTTTTAGTCTGGGTTTTGCTGTCCCCTCTGTGGAATTCAGAGGCAGATCTGGCCATGCCCGGGGCAGAGGTGCTGGGGATGATGCCCATTCCCATGGGAACCCAGCAGGGCTGTGGGGAAGGGCATTCCCACGGCAAGGGGCTGACCTGCACCTGTGCAGAGCACAGGGCTGGGCTGTGGGAGGTCGCTGAGGAGGGAGTGAGGTGGGTGAGCGCATTTCCAAATCTCACCCACACAGTGTCTTAGATGTGTTTTCAGTTAGTATCTCCTGGGAGACACAGATGAAGACTCTCAGGCCCATCTTATGGGAGCACTCAGACACACATCTCATTTGTCCCCTGAGTAAACAACTGATCACAGTGGCTGAGAATCCATCAGCTGAGCACAGGAGTTCTGAGAATCCTATTCCATCCATCAGCTGTCCAAGGGAGTTCCACAGGCACATGGGATGCACAGAGACCGGTGCTGTTATTTTAGCTCCTCCAGGGGTGAGAGGCACACAGGGGAGAGAAGGTGTAGAAATGCCTGGTGGATGATTCATTCAGTGCTGAAAAGCTACCTGGTTGGAATTGCAGAATCATAGAATATCCTGAGCTGGAAGGGACTTACAAGGATCATCCTGCGCAGGACACCCCAACAATCCCACCCTGTCCTTCAGAGCGTTGTCCAAACCCTCCTGGAGCTCTGGCAGCCTTGGGGCTGTGCCCACTGCCCTGGGGAGCCTGGGCAGTGCCAACCACCCTCTGGGGGAAGAACCTTTCCCTGAGATCCAGCCTGACCCTGCCCTGTCCCAGCTCCAGCCCTTCCCTGGGTGCTGTCCCTGCTCACACCGAGCAGAGGTCGGAGCTGCCCCTCGGGAGGAGCCGCAGACCCTGCTGGGGTCTCCCCCGTTAATGTCCATCCGCAGGATTTCAGACCTGCCCGCGCAGGTGTTTAATTGAGCATCATTAGACAGCGAGCACGGAAGGTGTTGCAGCTGTGGCACAACCCCGCCCTTTGGGAGGCCACCGGGGCGCCGGGCGGGCCTGGGGAACGGGGGGTACCGCACAGGGCCGGGGGCGAGCGGCGGCTCTGCCCCTTCCCCGTTCCCGAGGCCCGTTCCCGAGGCCCGTTCCCGAGGCCCGTTCCCGAGGCCCGTTCCCGAGGCCCGTTCCCGGCAGTTCCTCCCGGAAGCGCCGCCGGAAGCGCGGGCGGAGGCGCGCGCGGGGTGAGCGCGCGGGGCCGGGTCCGCTCGGGCCGTGCGGGACAGGACAGGACAGGACCGGGCCGGGCCGCCATGGCCCTGGCGCTGCCGCTGCCCGAGCCGCCCTGGCCGCCGAGCCTGGCCCCGCTGAAGGTGCGTGCGGCGGGACCCGGGGATGGCGGGACACGGCCCCGGGCATGGCGGGACGGCGGGCGGGGGCCGGCGGGGCCCAGGGGCCCGGGAGCGGCCCCTCTGCCCTGCGAGCAGGCGGGGGCTGCGGGGCGGCCCTGGCAGCACATCCCGGCGCTGCTGGTGGATCCGCCCTCGCCCCACGAGCCCGTTTGCCTTGAGCGGCCCCTTCGCACAGCGAACCTCCCGTGTCGGGCACCCCCGTGTCGGGCACCCCCGTGTCGGGCACCCCCGTGTCGGGCACCCCCGTGTCGGGCACCCCCGTGTCGGGCACCCCCGCTCGGTACCGCTCCCCCGTGTCGGGCACCCCCGCTCGGTACCGCTCCCCCGTGTCGGGCACACGTGCCGTGGCCGTGGCTGACCCCGCTCTCCCTGCAGGACGTGGATGACTTGCTGCGCTGTGGGATTTGCTTCGACTACTTCAGCATCGCCGTGATCATCCCGCAGTGCTCCCACAACTGTGAGTCTGCTGGGAGGGGTTGTTGCTCTGGTGGGACTTGTCCAGTCCTGCTGCCTCCTGTGTGAACCTCCTGAGTGTGAAGTGTAAGGAAAGGCTGAGAGAATTGGGTTTGTTCAGCCTGGAGAAGGCTCCAGGGTGACATAATCGTGGCCTTCCAGGACCTGAAGGGAGCCTAGAAGAAGGATGGAGAGAGACTGTTGACAAGGGCCTGGAGTGACAGGAAAAGGGGGAATTGCTTCTTACTGAAAGAGAGTAGGGTTAGATGGGATATTGGGAAGAAATCCTTTGCTGTGAGGGTGGGGAAGGCCCTGGCACAGGTTGCCCAGAGAAGCTGTGGCCGCCCCATCCCTGGAAGTGTCCAAGGCCAGGTTGGACGGGGCTTGGAGTAACCTGGGCTGGTGGAAGGTGTCCCTGCCCATGGCAGGGGGTGGAGCTGGATGGGCTTTAAAGTCCCTTCCAACCCAAACCATTCCAGCATTCTATGGTTCTCCTTGGGATGGAAGCTGTGAGAAGGTCTGTGAGATGGAAGCAGCCAGAACCTTCCCTCGTGCAGTTCCTGCTGCAGCATAAACACGTGGCATCTGGATCAATGCACTTAAAACACTGCCTATTTCTACAAGTCTCCGTTTAAATATCTTTCTGAACATCTTGAGGGTGGAGCAAAGCTGTATGTGGAGAGCATTATGAGCTAAAATTTTCCGTGCTGCTCTGCCTGCCTTGGGCTGATATCTGTTGGAACCTGGACCCAAGCAGTTTGCTGAAAGCCAGATTAGAGGGAAATATGTTAGCTTTTCTCATGTTAAAATAAAAGCTTGTAATTGTTTGCTTCAGAAACTGTAGCACTTCCCCTTCCTTCCATGAAGGGGGTCATTGTAGTTTGGCAGTGAAGTTTAGTTTAGTTTGGCAAAGCTCTCACCATTGAAACCAGTATTCTTGTGGTGGGGAGCACTGGAAATTCTCTACTTGCTGGTGACACAGTGGGGTTCAGAGGCCCTTAACTTTGGAAAGAATCTGTCTGCCTTTTCTTTAACAGATTACACATTTATTTCCCCATGCAAACTGCAGAAGGTCCAAGTTTTCTACAGTAGCTCAAGATTTCTTGAAGCACTTTCAGTTGCTTGTCTCTGTAATCTCTTGAGTCAACTGAGGTTGGACAAGCGAAGCCAAAAGCTCTCTGCTTTAATGAGTAATTGTTTGTGAATGGATGAAAATGAAGTATGTCTGCTTGCAAACCTTTCTGCTGACTCTCATTTTCTTAATGATCTATTCCAGGGTCTCTAGACATCCCTGTGATGTGTTTGCACCTGTAGCCACTTAAATTCCTCCTCTGCTCCTTGGGTGTTGGGAGTGTTCAGTAGCTCATGTGACAATAGTTGTTTAACTGTCCTGGTGCTTTGGACTGTGTTGTTACTGACAGAATAGATGTGCCATCCATATTTTTTTCACATGATAAAGGCATCTGAAGGTGAATGTCTTCTCTAGCATGGATGGAAGGAACTGTGGCCCTGGGATTTCTTATACCTGGTATGGGAGCATGAGCTCTGTCTGCAGGCTGGTGTTGGTGTGCTGGATGTCAGCAGGCTGGATCTGCCAGTTCATTCATATTCATACAGTTAAAGTTAATTTGGTTTTTTTATGGATTTCCCACCCCATATAACTTCTTAATAGATATAGTAACTTTTGAGTATTTAGCTGGATTTGTGGGTTTAAGTGTTATTTGGTGCGTTAAGGCCAGGTTGGATGGGGCTTCCCAACCCAAACCAGTCTGTGATTAATGCTCCTGCTGCTTTTCAGACTCACTCCCAGAGGGTCTGTGAAATATAAATCTGCTTTGGGAGCTGCTGCTGAGTGTTAAATGCTGAGACTCTGACCCATAATGATCTAGTGAGTGAATGTCTGTTTTACTGGAGAGTGATGAGACTTTATATCTTTAAGTGGCTGTGAAAGCTCATAGATAAGTTGACAAAGTAGAACAATTTCAGAAATCTACTGTGACAAAATGAAGCTTATGGCATGTTTCACCACAGTCTGTTGAACCATCCTGTGACGATGACATGACTTGCTTTCCCTGGGAAACATTAAGCTGTCTCTCAGCCTTCCAGTGCTGGCTTCCATTCTGCTTAGCCTTTTCCTTCACTAACAAGTTGGTATGGTTTTGGAAAGGGGCAGAAAAGCCTGGGAAGAGGAGGAGACAGAGGGTGTCTGGGGCTGTGCAGGAAGATGGAAGTGGTCCCACATTAGTCATGTCAAAAACCCAGTGTGGGGGGAGTGAGCAGTGCAAGCATGGCTTTAGTGGTGCTGGCTGACCAAGGTTTTCTTGTCTTGCACTGGGAAACAAAAGGAAATGAACATCATCTTTTGACAGAGGGACTGACATTGGGTACTGAAATATGTTTGCATACAATACGTTTGGGTTTTTTTTGCTACAATGATAATCTCAATTCCATGGAAAGATGGTGTGTTTTCAACATTGGTGTATTGTGGAATAGCTTGCACATATTGTACAATAAGAAAATACACAAGTAAGAACTTGAAACTGCCTTTGGAAGAATGCCTTCTTGAAAATGACGTATTTCCTTTTTCCAGATTGTTCCCTTTGTATCCGCAAGTTTTTGTCCTACAAAACTCAGTGTCCAACATGCTGCGTGGTAAGTGCTTTTCTTTCCCCCTCAGCTTGTTTTTTTGTTTATTTTTTTGGCAAATCTCAGGAGCTTTTCCCTTTGGACTGTGCTAAATAATTGTGATCACGTTACCACCTTTCTGTTTGGTGAGCAGCTCTTTGGGCAAAGTGGGATGTTCTTACAGCTGGAATTCTTCTGCTCCAGAGTTGTTCTCTGTCAGCACAGGTGGAAGTAGATGGAGCATCAAGCCTGGGGTTTGGCTCAGGGCTGTGCATACAGTCTGTCACAAAACATTTAATATTAATTTGTCAGAATACACCATCGTTTAAACCAGGAGTGCTGAAACTTAGGCACTTAAATTTGAGTGGCCTCATTTCATCTCTCAAGGAGTCTTTAAAAGTGTTCACAAACCTGCTAGTCCTGACAGTGGCTGGTGTAGCCTTTTTGGGCATGAGAGGGCTCTGTTCTGCTCTGGGGAGAGGAGGTGTTTGCCAGGAGCAGGAGGCTGAGTGTGCAGAGCACTGGAGGCAGGTTGAGCTGCTCTGCAGGTGCTTGTTATTGGGATCTCACTTGAAGCCCTTTTTTGATTAAAGAACATGAAATGCAATTTTTTCTAAGCCTTAATCTAACTTTTTTCCTGAAGCCAATTGGGGTTTATCGACCTCCTGAAAGTGGTTAAAAACAGTAACTCAAACAAGTGAATGGTGCTTCAGGAATATTGGCAAAATAGGAGTAATTTTGGTCTGTGTTCTAAAGCATGAAACAGATGAGACCTTTCAAGACTGGAAAATGGATCTATTTGTGGCTTTGCCAGTTTTTAAACATCCAAACAAGTGCAGACTACTTGATGAAGTACATTTTGCTGCCACTTGCTTAAAACTCACAGAGATAAAAATCAGAAATTGTTTCAAAAGAATGAATTGAATGCACAAAGTCATCTCATATTTCATATTTTAATTCCATAATCAGAAGATTAACATTTCCCTTCATGGGTTTTCATGCTTTGTTGCTTAACGTTCTTATCACCTTCATAAAATCCTTGATTTGGTTTTCAAAATAATTAGACCTGTGCTACGATAAACCATTGTTGGAGCCTGGGTACACTGGGCTTTGTTCCTTTGGCTTTATGCTTCATTTTTATCTATTACCCTAATTTTCCAGACTTACAGTTCTCAGGCAGTTATTTTAATATGACATATTTTTCAGGAAAAAGCGTTTACCCTTTATACATCTTCATCTTCATAGCACTTTAGTGGGGGTAGTTGAGTTGCTGAGCCAAGAAGCAAGTTATTGATCACTTGAACGTTTTCTGGGCACTTGTTGTTTTCACTACATTTGAATGTTTGTTTGGTTTTTTGTTTTTTTTTTTTGCTTTTTCTCTCTTTCTTTTCCAACAGGCAGTCTCGGAATCTGACCTGAAAAACAACCGAACATTAGATGATCTAGTGAAGAGCTTCAATTCTGCAAGGTATTGATGTAATTTTATGACCACTCTCTCTCTAGTTTGGCAGCTGGAAAGAAGAGACTGCCTGTGTGTGACCAGGCTTGGAGTCCTTGGAGAGCAGTGGTGTGAGGACTGAGCAAAACAATTGTGGTGTCACAGAAACATTGTCAAAGATGGATGTTTACACTTTTGGAGAAATCCTACAGGGTTCTGGCTGAAGGTTGCTGCCCACTTGGTGAGGTGTGGAGGCTCTACAAGCTTATTTTGGTCCTGGTTCTGGTTAACTGCCCTGTAAGTTGCAGTCTCTTCCAGTGTGTAGGAAGTCAAGCAGATATGTCAGGATTCTGTGGGAAAAATAATGGTAATAAAGATTTTCTGCTAAGATCTTTGCTATGTGTGCAGGGAAAATTCTGAACAGAAAGATTTTGTCCAGTGGTAACAATCAACTTGCAAGAGAATTCTCTTGATGAAGTCACTGGCTGGGAAAAACATAGGTATTGAAGGACCACAAATGTGAGTTTTCCTGGGGAAGAGAAGTAATGGAGTGCTCTGCTTTCATCTGGTTTTCTTAGCTACTTTCCTGTTTAATTCATTTTTTATTTCATCCCTTTAAAAGACAGGAACAACAGAATGAGTTTGACTTGGTAAGTTCTCACCACAGTAGATGCATGAGGCTCCTTGTATTATCTGTTTCCTTTTGATGAGAAGCAGCTCAGTGTTTGCTGGGGATTCTGTGGGTATTCCTGTGTCTTTGGGAGATAAATGCACTTTCATTTTTTTCTCTGAAATTAACTTGAAGCTGGAAGTCAATGAGACCTGGCTTCATAAGTGACAGGAAGCAGAGTTCAGTTGATGGCTTTGTTTCATGAGAGAATTTTTCTGTGATGAAAACCATAGAATGTAGATAGATCTAATCTCCTACATGACCACTGCTAGACTGAAGTGATTTATTTGAATAATTTAAATCCTACAGTTCCATTGTTTTAGCTTGAACTCTGGTGCTTCCTAGTGATAAATGGATTACTATTTTTTTGGTAATATCTAATTTTGTAGGGAACAAGTAGTGCTGACTTGGATCCATTATGATATTGAATCTTAAACATTAATTTCTTTGGCTGCTTTAATGGATCAGTATAAATCTTAGCAGTGAGAGTAGTTTAATAACCTTTCCTTGTGTGACTTGGAGTTCAGCCAGTGTCTCCCATGAGGTGGGATCAGTAGGATGGTGGTGCCCTGTCCCCTGCTCCGTTTGGGGTGGGTGGGAGCGGGCACAGGGCTTGCTCTGGAGCTGGGTGGGAAAGGCCCCACGATGAAGGCTCACTAATGACTGCTCTAATGAGACAGACCCCTCAGAGCAGTGTAGATAATGAGTCAGGTGCTGGGCACCCCCCGGGCTGGGTTTGCTCTGCCATGTCCTGGGCTGAGGGGACACGGCTTGGCCAGAGAGCAATGTGTGGGATGAGTGTCATTGAATCAGAACCTCATTGCTGATTTCTGCCCTCATGATGTCGGTATAGGACAAATCTTCTGTCTCCCCCCTGCTTCCCCATCTGCTTTGTTTCCCTGTGGCCCTCCCCAAAACAAATCCAAAGTGCAGGGGTTGAAGAGCTCAGCACATTTCAGAGATCAAGTCTGTCCTGACCTGACTTTGAGCCTTGGGTGGTTTAGTGTTTATGAAAATTAGGCCTTTAATCTTCTCAGCATTTCACAAAGTGCAAACCCATTCCTTAAGTCAGGCCTGGAGGGGAAGAAAATGGTAATGTTGGTGGTACCTAGAGTGCAAGTTGTGCTCCAAGGTCAGCGTGTGCAGGGAATAGGAATCATTCCAGCCAGGGCCAGGTGCTGATCCCGTTTGTACTCTGCTCTCTGCTTTACACCCTGTGCCCAAGTGTCTGCAGGGTGAGCTGGTGTGGGTGTGCTTGGGGTGATGTGTGGGAATGCTGCTCCCTCCCCATCCAGGGAGAGGGCTGTCCTGTTTCCCAGTGAAAGTGGAGGTGTCCTGTCATTCCTCATGGCCCGTCGATGTTTTATTCAGTGTGAAAGGCAGAGGAGCAGTTCTGACCAGGCTGTAATGGGTGTGAATGGACAGTGCCCTGTGTGAGGGGCACAGGAGCTCAGGGGGGCATTGACATGAGCAGTTTTGTTTTCCCTCACCTGCCAGTGCTCTGGGATGGAATTCCTGGCTCTGGACATGTCAGGAGAGAAAGATGAGGAGCAGTATTTGTGCCAGCTGTCCTTTATGAACTTTTATCACTTGCAGTAAGGCCAGTGTCTTCAAAAATAAGTGTAAAGTTTTGTGTGAAGTGTAAAGAATTAATTTCATTGTCCTCTAATAAAGAGATTATTTTGATAAAATTTGTAAGTTTTTGCATCACCTTGTTAGAAAATTTAGCAATAGAAATTAGAGTTACAGTTGCATAGGTAGAAAAGTAGTCCTTGTTGACAAGGACTGGGGCTGAGTGAGGTGTGGCAGGTGATAAAGTGCTACCCAAGAGCTCAGGGCTGCGTCCCAGCTCTTCCATCCATGGGGTGGGACCACTAGATGTCATCACCCAGCCAGGGAAGCTGCTCACGAGCCCAAAATACCACATTCTGGGAAAAGCCAGCCTGGGACTGCTCTCTCTTCTTTTGCATTCAGTACTAGAGTTTTCTGTATTTTCCCACCAAAAAAAAAAAGTGTGTTTTGGCAAAAAAGTTTTCAAGTTCTCGTCCTGGTGTTCTTTCCACTGATTCTGTGCCAAGATCAGATCCCTTTGGAAAGTCTATTCCCAAGTCTTTATGTTTCGATGTGAAGAAAAGCTCCCAGGATTTTTTGTAGATCAGTGGTGTAATTAAAACAATGTTTGTTATTCAATTATTGTTAGGATAGATTGAGTTTTGTACTGTTTTTCCAGTTTCTTTATCTTAGATGAGGTTGTATTTTACTGAGCCAACTGTTACTAGAGAATCTGAAGTTTCTGTTCAGATTTCTCCATCCTGTCTGCCTTCATGTGAAGCCAACACCCTGCATGTGATGTGAGCTCATTCTTCGTGGGCCTTGGGGCTTCAGGGAAGTGCTCTGAGAAAGACTTCTGTGGTGTGCACATTCTGTAGGAATATCACTCACAGTCCCCTTCTTTTAAAGGAATGGGAATCCAAGTTGTTTCTGCTGTTATTTAGTGTTCCCCAGTTAAAAACCTTGCAAGTTGAGGAGCCACAGCTGTGTGCTTTCAGGGGCTTTGTCACCCCAGCTGCAGTGAACTGTGTCACACAGAGCTGTAAAGCCACGGCATTTGGCTACAGAGCAATGGAATATGGCAGTGGCTGCTGCTGAGCCCTTGGCTCCAGGGGCCTCTGTCACAGCTGGGTGACACCTTGTTTGAGGTGCTCTGGCTTGAAAATGCTCTGCTGTTCAAGTGAGGGGGAAGGCTCTTGGGTCTCTGCTGTGTTCCATGTGACTTTTGAGAGGCATTTCATTGCATTTGCAAAATGCAATGTATTTAGTTTGAAATCAGGAAGACAGTGCTGAGGTTCTGCAGAGTGTGGTGAGGCTTGGCTGGCTCCTGGTCCAGGTTCCTGTGGGATGGGCAATCCCCGAGTGCTGCGTGTGAGCAAGGGGGAGAGGGAATGGGGAAAAAACTCCATCAGTTTGCATTCTCGTTTCTCCAAAAAAACCCCAGCACTGTCCAACGTGGATAACTGCGTGCTTTCTCCTGGATGCTCCCAGGCAGCAGCTGTTCCAGTTGATGTTGGATGCTCCCGCGGTTCCGGCCCCGCTGGCCTGCAGCAGGAGTCCAGCTGCCCAGAGCCATGGCAGGGCTCCTGCTTCTCAGCCAGAGTCAAAGGAGCTGCCAGTGATGGACAGTTTCTTGAAAAAGGACAAAGTCTGCACCTCGGCAAAGGCAGGGGGCCTGGCAGGGACTGATCAGGGGACTTTCAAAACTGAGGAACACCGTGACCTTCACGGCACTTCTGCAGAGGCTGGTGATACAGACAGTGAAGTGGGATCACAGGAGAGTCCTGAGTGCACCAAAAGTCATGAAAAGCCTTCTACATCTGTGGTCAAAGGAGTCAAGAAAGGTGAGTTGTTTAGGTTTTGGTTATGCCCTGCTCTCTCTGCCAGGGGAGCCGACTGTGTGTGTAAGAGGACCCTCAGAACGTGGCACTCATCCTGTTTCTCTGCCTGGTTCTGATCCCTGTTGGCACATGCAGCTCCTTCCCCTTTAACTGGCCGTGCTCTGCTCCAAGCATGTTCTTGATGAGGAAGCTTGGGCTGCTGACAAGGAATGAAATGGAATTCAGCACTTACAGATTCCTTTGCTTTGAGTAACAATGCTAAAAAACAATAGTTGTGCAACAGACTTACTCAGTAAAAATGAAGCAATTTCTCCTTCTCCCAGTGACTAGACAGACACCAACATTCATTCTGCCTTTATGTCCTAGAGTACCCAGATGCAGGTTATTTTATAATGTGTTTGTTGTTTGAGGGGTGAGCCCAAACTCGAAGTGAACATGGCAGCAGTTCTGTTAATGTTCCTGTTCATACACTCTCCAAAAGAGTCATCTACTTCATTCTTCTGTAATTCCACAGGGTTAAGGTTAATTTATTTTGAAGCACGAAAATGCCCATTTATACTAATAAACCACAATAAAGTGGCAGAACCTTCTTAGTCCTGACGTGCTGACAGCCATCCTATCGACCCAGCTAAAAGCCTAAATTAAAATAAAAGACCATGTAGGAGTACAACCCTGGTTCTTATTAGTTCCGATTTATCTGTTCTTTTGTTTAAGAATGTATTCAATTCTGAAGTTCATATTGATTCATTAGCTGGGTAAATCCTTCTTAAAGATGTATCATAGCCAGGAAAGGAGCCATGGGAAACCTGTCCTGGTTTTTGTTACTGTCCCAACTGTTTGGGGTGTTTAACCTTTGGAATACGGCGTGGTTGGGAGTCAGGAGTTGCAGAGCAGTATTACCAGAGAACTCTCAAATTCCACAATATTTCACAGTTGTGAAAAACCAGCATTTCAGAGGTTGGTTTTTGTTTTGTTTAAATCAGAGCTGGCTTCCCTCACACTGACACAGAGGGTGTTAGTTAAAGCCTCTCATTCTGTTCATTCAAAATTAGCCATTTGTGATGAAATCTGATTGCTAAAGAGCAATGTTTTAAGTCTGTGTTTATTGTCTGCCTTGACAGGCAGTGTTTATAGGTGCCTCTTGCAGATATGATGCAAGAGTGATTGAGTGGGGTGGGCCTGTACCATGGGATGTTCCTGAGCCTCCAGCCCAGGCACAGAATCCAGAAATGAGTGGGGGGCCTGGCTGGATTATGGGATTCCTGTGAGGCTGAGTTAACTCGTGGATTGACTGTCCTGAGAACCATACATTGGGAACACGATGTTAACAAGAATGAAAGCGGTGCTATAGTGTTTTGTCAAAAAGAGGCAGCCTCCTTTATTTAGGAGTGAAATACTGCAAAAGTGGAAAGCATTAACAGGGACATCTGCTGCTGTTTCTGTTAGCCCTTGGGTTTTCTTGTAGGATGTGTGTTAGTCTAGGTTATTAGGGATTCGATTCCATCTGTCTGCAGGGAAGATGAGAGCCACTCTGATATTACATAGAGAGGGAATTCAGTGCTGTGGAACGAAAATGAAAGCCAAAAAGGAAGATTCTGGATAGACATGCCAGATCTTTTCAAACAAGACATTTGGAATTCTGGATTTTTGTTTTCTTCAATGAGCAATTATTCTCTCAGATGAAAACATTTGCTTTTTGCTGTTATATCCACACTAGTAAATTCCTTCTTGTTTGCTTTCAGTGGAATGTCCTGTTTGTGAGGTGGCTATTCCAGAGCAATATATAAACAAGCACCTGGATAGCTGCTTGACCAGAGAGGAGAAGAAGGACAGCCTCCGAAGGTAAGGACAGCTTTAAGAACTTTCCCGTGCTCGTGGCTGGTTTTGTGCTCTGCTGAAATTCCTCTCAGTTGCTGGGGTATAATAGCAGTGGGCTGTGCTTGTTTCTGGCTTGTTTCTGCTGCACAGAGCACTATGAAACGCTGTGGGCATTGTGGCCTCTCAAGTAAGCATGTGGATTGCCAGTAGAATTACTTTTTGGCTTTTAGTGGCAAGAAAACACTGGCCAGTGCTTTAAAGAATTCAGCACAGGGAGCAGCCCTCAGTCTGTGCACTGTTCTTGTCCCCGTTCTGCTCCCTGGCATTGACATTCCCTCTGGGTAACTCCGATTCCCATTTTTCACCTAGTGAATGAATCACTTCCCTCACTTCAGGTGGGCCAGGAGACATTTGCTTCAATAGCTGTCAAGTTAAAGAATAAAAATTGCACCTTTCTCTCCTCACTGTGGGGCTGTTCAAGTTTCCTGAAGATCTTAATTTCCATAAGATTGATGCATTCCTTTGGCTTTGTGCCCCTGCCCCAGCATTGGTCACGGTCGCCACATTCACATCAGAAATGGAGATTTCAGTTTGTTTTACTTACAGCAGAAATGTAGGCTGTTATTATTTCTGACTGATCAGGCTGAAGAAATGGGAGGGGCTTGTACTGCAATGCTTATTTTCCCAAGTCCTCTGAAACTTGAATTAGAAAGTAATTTTATGTTAAAGCTCTTGTTTTGCCCAGTCATCCTTAAAGTGCAATATATAAGCTAAAGGACTTTGAAGTTGAAAAAATCATAAATTAATATTGAAATCTGATGTTATATTTTAATTTCCATTTAGGATGTTTTTAGTGCTTTCTCTGCTCTCAATAAATGCACATAAAAGCGAGATCTTTCCTTGGTGTCAAGCTCATGTCCCTAGCGGGATTTTAAATTCTGCTTATTTTATCTCTAGACTGCTTAGATCTTCAGTATGTGTCACACCAGACACTGCCCCGTAGGGACTGGCTCTCTGGGGTAAATGCTGGCTCTTGGCAGGGTGTGGTTTATGGCTGTGATGTTTGGTTCCAGTAACAGCACATCCCTAGTGCTTCTCTGAGGAATGGGAGCTCTGTTATTCTCAAAGCAGGAGCACATGGCTGAGCAGTATTTTGGCAGAACTGCTAATTTAACCCCCCAAACCTGCACAAGGTAATTCCAACGTGTGTGTGTGTTCCTAGAGAACACTGCACTTCTCAAAGGTGGGGAAAACCCACCAACATTCAAATCCAAACCTGTTGTGAGCTGTTTTCCTGTGGCTGCTGGCAAAGCTGTGGGCACTCTTTAGGTCATGCTGTTGGTGAACTGGAATACACACCAAGCTTCTGCAGGACTTCCAAAAGATTTAATTATTCGATGACATTTTTTATATTTCTCAAAAGAATCTGAAAAAAGTTTCCCTGAAGAGTGTATTGTGGTAATCTGTCTTCTTTTTGCCAGCTGAGCCACAGGGGCTGGATGAGAGCAAATGAATTAATAACAATTTTTGTATAAACCTTTTTTTCAACGTGAAATTTATTTTCAATGTGATAAGTTGAAAGTGCTGAATAGTTTTGAAATAAATTTCTTGCTGTCACCATGGAAAGCTGCTAACTACTCTCTAATCCAGAGCAGTACAGCTGAACTTTGTTTTGCTGCAGAACAAAAAGTGTCTAATGAAATGCTGTTCCTCTGTAACTAATAAATTATTGCAGTTGCAGAAGATGAGCAAGGCAGTTGATGGGTTTTGGTCCCTTTGTTTCCTAGTTTGAGAGTATCTCACCAGGAGGTGTAGGGAAGCCTGAGCCAATTTGTGCAGAAGGAGCTGTTCTGCTCGTTTTAGGTGACAAAAGTTATAGTAGAAAGTTATACTCTTGAATTTCATCTGGCAGTTTCCTGTAGTTAAAATGTTTTCCCCAGCTGCGTCAGGAATGTTGAGTTCTTTGACAGAAGGCAGTGGGAAGGAGTAAACTTTGGACTTAGATGTCATTCCTTTGAGAGCACTGTTAATTCTCTTTAATGTCACTTTCTGTGTCACCAAACCACCCTTCTGTTAGCTGGGAACTGCTGCCTTCAGGTACATGACTATTTTTCTGAAAGTCGTTTTCCCAGAAGGCTGAAAACTCTCCTAATTCAAGTTTTGTCTTGAGGTTTTAATGCTTTTAAAACTTCTCCTGCTGATTCAGGTAAGACATGGCCAGTACTAGGGTGAAAAAACCAAGTTCCTTTCAGGTATCTTTCATCTCGAGTGGGTGAAATGCCCTTAAATATTTGTCAGTATTTTGATTTTCACAAATCAAATAAATAATAATATATAAATAAATAAATAAATAATATATAAATAATAATCTATAAATAAATAAATAAAGTCTGTTTCCTTTGGCAGTTCTACTCACAAAAGGAAGCCGATGTCTAAAGTTGTTTATAACCTGCTGTCGGACCGAGACCTGAAGAAGAAGCTCAAGGAACATGGTCTGTCCACCTCTGGGACCCGTCAGCAGCTCATTAAGAGACACCAGGAATTTGTGCACATGTACAATGCTCAGTGTGATTCCCTAAGTCCCAAATCAGGTAAGTGAGAAGCTGTAGGGAAGTTGCTGCCATCACAAACCATTTGTCTGCATTTCTCCCTCTGTTGGCTCTTGGGGTGGGAGGAACACTGGTTTGAATGGTTTGGGGGAACTGGAGCTGGAAGAATTTATCTTGTGTAAAACAAGGGTAATGCAAAATACTCCTGTGATGTGGGGGGTACTCAGGGGGGTTCTTCACTCCGTGCTGGTGATGAAGTGGCTCCAAGTCTCTGCCTCGTTCCTCCAGACTAAAGGAAGAGTACCAGGGTGTGTTCAGTGTAATTCAACTGCTCTGCCCTAAATAATGCAAAACTCTTCCTCTGTTCAAACCCTGGGCACAAAGGGTGAATTATTAAACTCACACTTAAGATGCAGACATGCATTTTGGGTAGTAGCAGTGAGCCTGAGGTCACTATGTAACAGGAGTAGCTGAGCTTCTGAGGAAGCAGAGGTGCCAAATTCCGGGAGTTTGCTTAAACCAGTTTGGAACAGGTTTTATTCCTTCACAGCTTACTAAGCTTTTGTTCTCTGGCTGCTTCACTGTCTGGTGAAAGTGTTTGTTTTGATAACTGCCTGCAGCTACCTGGCAGTGCTGTGGAGATGATGAAATGCAGGAACAGATTTGTAAAAGTAAATGTCAAAATAAACTGTGCAGGGTCCTGCATAGCTGTGGCTCTCGTTAAATGTTAAGAAACACAGCTATGTCTGTTTGTAGGCTTTGAACGTGTCTGACATAATCGTTGGGGTAGGTTGTGATTCATCTGTGGGCTTTGGCCATGAGCCTGCACACTGGAAGGTGGTCTGGGGGTAAAATAAGATAAACAGAAGATGCAATGATTATATCTTTCATTGAAACATCCAGTCTAAAATGGAAACTCTTTCTGAATGACATACCTGTGCACCACAGAAACACTTGTAGTGTGGAGGAAGGAGGTTCAGTGGGATTTGGAAGGATGGCAGGTTTGCCTGGGATTCGAGCCTGAGCTTTCATTGTTGGAGCACCAATGCTGTTTGTGTTTTAAAGTCATGGTAGTTTCATTCAGTGCTGTTACAGCTTTTTATTACACAGCTCCTGTTTCAGTGATCCCTTTCTTCTATTTCTGAACAGTTGCAGAGGTTGTTAAAGAGCTGGAAAAGAATGAGAAGATTCGGGTTCAGCTGGAATGTAATAAACCCAGTGAAAATGTAGGTGACTGATCTTTGTTCTCACAGAGGGGTGGCCAGCAGAAACTGCAGAGTGGGCACTGAATATGTTTGCCTATTGCTTTATAGTGGGGATTCCCAGCCTCAGTGTTGGAATTCACATATGCCATCCTGTAATCAACCCGATATTCTCACGACGTGTTTGCCGTGGGCAGTCCTTGGTGCAGTGCTGAGCTTTCTGCCCAAACCACTGAAGTGGGAGCACTTCTTTGACTGCAGTAAAAGCTCTTGAGAAATGTTCCACTTGGCCACACTGGAGGATTTTGACCCTCCATGGCAGTGTGGGGAATGTTTTACTTCCTGGAATCCTGCAGGATTTAGCTGGCAAATTCCATGTTTCCGTGAGGGCAATAGCGCCTGTTCTTTTCCCATGACATTGGATACTTTGGTGACTTCTGAAGCCTGTTTGTTGCACAGTGTTAAGAAATATCTTATGGCCCACATGTGCTGGGTGTGACAGGGGCTGGCTTGGTCCTGGTGCCTGGGTGGAAGTGGAGCAGGACACCATGGATGTGTTCTGTAAATGTATAAGGGTCTTTGATGAGAAGCTGAGAGCTGGAGGGGGAAAACCAGGTAACTGCTCCTTCTTCCAGTTTGAAGTCTCTAATTTCAAAGTCTGCTGCCTTATCATCTTTTTATTTCTGTTAAAAGCAAACATTTGTGTGATTTCTGTAGAGCTTGACCTTCACAAAGGCCCAGACAGAGGAAGAAATAGATGAGATCCACGCTGAATATCGTGAGTAATGCACAAGTTGCACTTTGTTTTGCTCTTAAATTCACTTTCTTTTCCTTTGAACTAAAATATACACACTGATTGCCTCTGAGTGCATCTCCATTTATGCACTTTGTGCCCTCTTAGTGTCCTCTCATGTTTGCTGGACCTGCAGAAGAGCAGAGCAGGGTGTCTGTGTCTCCCCCTGAGCTGTGAGATGTGCAGTCGTGTGGTGTCACTGGGAACCCTCCACAGCAGAACTGCTCTGAAAGGGCTCCCTGAGCTCCAGCCAGGGACTGGCCTTCCTGCCTCTGGTTTCATTTTCTTGGTCTGTTATACACATTTAGAAAAAAAAAAAAAAATTAAATACTATCTTAATTAAATTCCTGTCTTTGAAAAATTGAGTTTGTATTGTTAAAAGGACATGGCTTCAAAATTAACAAGATCTCCAAGAGAATAAGTCTCAGGCAGCTTAACTGAACACTTAAAAGTATAAAAAAAAATAGGAAAAAAGCAAAGAAAGGAGATTTTTAACGGGAACATATGGTTTCAAAATTAATAAAAAGTGTTGATCAAAGAGGTAAGTAGTAACTGGTGTCAGGTAGTTATTTCTCATAAAAGCAATAAGGAGGAAATCATAAGCATGAAAGAAGAACTGTACAGTAAAATTCAAGGACAGATTAAAAGAACTTTCATCAAAGGCCGTTTTTTCACTGTACCACAGATGGACTTTAAAAAGCTTTATTGCACAATGAACTTCTTTTTTTCTTTTATTTTACAACATTTGCACTCGAGGTCCCTAATTCCCAGCTGAATAAATTAACTCTGGTGTAAGTTCTGGATAAAGAATCCCAACCCCACCATGTACTTTTGTTCTGCATTTCCATATGAAACAGAACACACTGGGGCTGTGAACAGCCTTGGGAAAGGCAAGACAGCTGGAGAAAGTGCTGGTTTTCTGCTTCTTTGCACTGTTCCAGGCTCTTGGCAAATTGTGAATTGCACTGCTGGTATTTTTTTTTACCATTTATGAAATACCAATTAATACTTTGCTTGCTGGAGCTGAGGATGGTTCCTGTGCTGTCTGGGAGCTCTGCTGGAGCAGCTGCTGGAGTCCATGCCTGGAAGGTGCAATTACAGTTACTGTCACTTCCTTCTGCTGCTGGAGACTCAGGGACACCCTCACCCTGGTGTCAACCCTATTCTGCTTTTTTTCATGGTCTCTAGTTAAAGAGTTAAAAAATCTACAGGAAAAGAAATACATTTGTTGAAAGATGTATTCTATTGCCTTTTCTGCTTATAAATCTTTCCATTTGCAATGTTCTTCAGAAGTCTACTGCTTTGTCTTGTGTTTAAATATTTGTAGTTCTGTCTGTGGTTGGCTTATTGAAATGCTGCAGTTTGGTTTATTACTGAGATGCTGCAGGTTGCTGTGCTGTGTGTGGTGTGGCATTTCAGCACCACGGTGATTTACAGCACAGCTCAGCAGTGCTTGTGTGCCAGGACATTTCTTTTTGCAAAGCTTTGTATTCACACCATAAACCAGCAAAACAAAAGAAAGCAGTGCTGTGAAAACTGAAATGCTAAAGGAATTCCATAGCAAGTGGCTCAGACTTGGCATCTGGGACAGAATTTGCTTTTACTTAATGGAGTTTTTGGCCTTTTGTGGTGCTTTCAGCTGCTCAGGGAAAGGAGTTGATGTCAAATCTTTTTCCTTCTGTGGGGCAGGACTTGGTGTTATTTTATCATAGAATGTATCAAAGAATTGTGTCACTGGAAGGGTGGTCAGGTATTGGAATGGGCTGCTCAGGGAGGTGGTGGAGTCACCACCCTGGAGGTGTTCCAGTGCTTGACAATGCTGTCTGTGAAGAAATTCCTCTGATGTCCAACCCCAACCTCCCCTGGCACAGCTTGAGGCTGTTTCCTCTTGTCCTGTCACTTGTTCCCTGGGAGAAAAGGCTGATCCCCACCTGGCTCCAGCCTCCTTGTCAGTGCGTTCCCTCCCTGCCTGGCCAGGGGTAGGTGATCCACAATGTCTGACTGAGGACACTGGGTATTTTCCCAGCCTCTGAGTAAAGAATTTGAAGTATCCAGATGAAACAACAACATTGCTTTGGCTGAACACCAGAAGATTGCTTAAAACATACCAAGTGATTGAAAGTGCAAAGAGCATTTGCGTTATTAACTGACTTAAAGGGTCTGAATTTCAGCAGTGTAATGAGCATGACACAGGAACATGAAGTGTTCATCTGTACCAGCGTTCTTGGCTGTGGGTAGCTCTGTAAAAGCACAGACACAGATTTGGATCATTAATAGAACATGGACCATATTGCAGTGCTGAGTTGGTTTTCAGTTGCTGTAACAAAAATGGTTTTAATTCAGTGTTTTGTGTCCATTTCTCTTCCCCTCCTTTCAGTGTTTATGGTGTACCTTAGTCCTGTGGGGATAGTTAGTGATGCTCTGCTACCTTTCAGGAAACAAACACAGAAAGGAATTCAAATTCTTGATGGATCAAGTAAATAACCGGTGGAAGAAAAGTGGTGAGAGGAAAACAGAAAGTGCTCAAAACAAAGAAGAAGTTGCTGTCAAAGAGCTGCCAGCAGCCACAGGTCAGTGATGTTTAGTATGGTCCCCTCTTGGATCCACACTAAGAAGTGGGGGGTTCCCAAAGAAATGCTGTTTTCTCCTGTTGTTCTTCTCCTACAGCCTTTAAGGGAAAAAATAGCATAAAGGTCAAACAGCCCCTAAAATGATTGACTGCCGTTGATTTTGGTGTGGAACATAAGCACGACCCATAATGATTATCTGGGTTTGATTTCAGTGGGTTGTGTCTGGATGTGCTTTGTCTGGGGACACATTGCAGGCAGTTGCTGAAAAGGGGTCTCAGGTTCCAATCCAGGTGTGCTGCAGGTGCTGAGCTGGGCATGTGGCCACCTCTGGAATGAAGGTGATGGTCAGTGCTCTCGCTGCCTTTGAGCCTTCCCTGATCCCTACTGTGAGAGGGAGTCAGTAACTGGGAACTGCTGAGGTATTTGTGTGGATTGGATCCAGGAGTTGTTTGTCCTGAGGCTGAAGCAATAAAATACTTGATCTTCTTTCAGGCTGTTTATGCAGGATGTTGCCTCTCTTTTTAACTTGCCTTGTTTTGTGTTTATATACTTGAACTCAGTAAAAAGTGGGAATGCAGGGCTGCAGTTACTCACTTGTTAGGAGTTAGGGACAGCATCCAGCCTGTTTGTGATCCTCCCTCCCTGCAGCATCAAACCTTACCAAGTGTGCTCTGAGCGTGTTCCTTGCAGGATCCTTTGGTTTGTGCTTCATGGCTGCTTTGGCAGGGAACATCTAGCTTTGAATGTGGGATTTAGAAGAACATTCCTCAGCCTAATAGAACTTGTGGATTTATAATCTATTCAAGACACTTGAGTTTTGGAGGGAATTCCGCTGGCCAGAATGGGATGTGCTGTTGTCTGTGCCCTTGGGAAAACGTGGCAGTGTAGTTTGCCCCAGCTCTCACAAATCCCTGTGCTCTTGGGCTGAGTTAATCTGTGTCTCTCTCCCGCACTGTCTCCTCCAGCAGAGTCCTCAAGAATGAAAAGAAATGAAAAACCAGTAAAATAATATGAATTTTGTCCTGATCATTTCCTGCAGACCTTGATTCAATGCATAATCCTTTCTGTGTGAAGGGTAAAAGTTAAGGAATCTCAAGGATAAAAGATTTGAAGACGTTCCTCATCTATAGCAGAGGCAGAGGTGATGTGTTGTTAGATGGTGGGACCACAGCCTTTATTTCCAGCTCTGCCCTGGCAGGGTGGACTGCTGTGGCTTTCAGGTTTCCATCTCCCCTGTGTGTGCTGCCCTACAGGCTCTGAGAAGCTGAATTAAAGCCATGGAGTTCTTCCAAAAGAGTGCTCAGGTAGAAGATAACTTAGCTCAGGTGTGTCGTCCTGTGCCATGTTCAGTCCGTGGCACCACCTCGTCTGGATCCGGCAAACCTGCACAATTCCCACTGCACTTTGTGCACTGAGCTTCCAATAGTCCTTGGAATTGCAGTTCCTAGTTTTATGCCAAACATCTGCACCCAGTTGACTGTTTGTAAACCATTGAAAAAACAAAAAGATGGTTTATGGTTGAAGGAACAGATGCCTAAAACCTATTTCCTCAGGGTTCCTTGTTAGCAGCAATTGCCTTTGTATTAAATGGGAATTACAGTACAGGAAAGGAACAAACCAGCAGTGGCCTGATGGAAAGGCTCTGTCTGCATTCCTTACCCACTTCCTTTGGCTTCTCATGGAAGTAGTGGAATTGTACAGAATTAAAACAGACCTTTTTGGGGGTTGGGTTTTGTCGGTTTATTTATTTTCCCCCCTCCATCTCTCCCACTGCCCTTTCCTGTAGTATTGGTTGATGCAATTTAACCTCTCTGAAAATCTCACTCTGTTTGTGGTGGTGTTTTAATCACCTGTTCCTGATTTACATCATCTTACTTTGCATCTTTAAGCTTAAAATGTCTGTTTTCCAGTTTTTATAACTTTTAAATCTGAAGCTTTGCTTTGCCTGAAGGAAAGTGCCAAAAACATTTGATAAATACTGGTGATAAATAATTTGATTTGATAAGTATTGGCTGTGCTGGTCTGCATTATTGCACAGACCTTTGCTATTTTTACCCTGCTAATTTCAGAATTGTGTTTCATTAGTTGGACAACTGACTCACTGGAATATGTTGGTTGTTTTCAGCAGACAAAAATATGCCCCTGATATTTAATTATGCCTGTTAGCTGGAGGGAAATGGCAAGCTGAGCTCAATCCAAAGTCTGGGGAGCCCTTCCACACTCCAGTTACAGTTCTGCTTGGCCTTTTCTGTCCAAAATATTGCTGGAGGAGTGGAAAAGTCAGAGCTTGGGCCTTGAAGGGGCATGTCTGTGACTGTCCCAATCACAGTTGTCAGTGAGATGGGTCTGGGGAGGGTTTAATGTCCTGGGCAGCTTTCAAGTAAAATAACTACTTTGAAAGTATTTGTGGGTATGGTATAAAGATCTTTTCATATCCTAATTTCTAGTCTATATTTGTTTTCTCTTTGGAGAGGCAGAAGGTATCTTTTCAGAGAACTGTTCATCTTTTCATAGACCAAAACATTTGACATAAAAACAACAGAATGGTTTTACAATTTTTATCCCATATGTGTTTGTCTAGAAATTATTTTTCCTATAGAAATGGAAATGTCAATTATCTGGATTGACATTGTCTTTCTTAAGTGCATAAGGAAACAAATCACAACTGAAAACAAGCCTGTTAACTTGATCTGTAAAACTTGAAGCTGTCAAGCTGTTTGATGCAGGGGATGAAGGGGATTGGTACCACAAGCAGCCAACAGCACTGTCTTGTTAAGTGTTTGCCAATTTCTGAAATAAAGTTCCATCTTATGAAATGTAGCACATATCCTTCCCCTTTATTCCTCTCCTTGTTTCTGTTTGAAACTCAACAATGAAACATGAAACATTTCTGGTTCTCAGAGGGTGGTTAGTTTTGTTTGGTTGTTTTGTTTTTTTTTTATCTAGGAAAAGAAATTAAACTCTTGAAAATTCAACCTGGGAAAACTTTGAGAAACAAGTAAGTGGGAATGAGGTGTTGGTATTTAAATATTTATAACTTTATTTTTTCTTAAAAATCTGTCTCCTGGCTGTAGGACTTTAAACAATAGTATTTTGTATTGTCATTCTAATCTGTGCCTTTTCCCTTGGTAGAGCCTCAGGAAGAGCATCCCACAGCTGTTGTCCTGGGAGAAGCCCAGGAACTCCATTCACATACTCCTGATGGCCAGAGAAGTGAATCTCCTTGCCTGGAGGAAGGCCAGAGATCGGCCTCTCCTGAACTCTCACTGTCATGGGGATCAACAAGCAGGTTAGTGAGGTGGTGTCTTCTCCCTGCTTAGTGCCAGCTTAGACCAAACATGGATAAACTTGGCAGTGCCTGTATCCTGCTTCACAGGATGGGTGCTGGGCTGTGGGCACGGATCCATTCTCTGTGTTCCTGGATGCTTGGTGGCTTGAGGGATGGAGCTCAAATAGTATTGTAATGACTTCATAGGGGGTTGATAGTGTAAATATCCCTTTTGGGACAGAAACAGGGAGTGCAATGTCTGGGGTATCAGGAGTACATTTGGTGAATTCCTTCCAGTGCATCTCCCAAAATGGATAACGGCCCAAGTCTTTTAAGTAGTATTGCTGTAAGGAAGTGTGGCCCCAGTTTCTGGAGGAAAAATGAAAAAATAATTGACAACAAATACAGAATAATTGGGGTTTGATATAAAAGCAAGAGAGCTGATTTGGCTATCTTGTTGATAAAGGAAATGAGAGGAGAATGCAGGTCAGCATTACCAGGAATAAAAAGGTTTAGAAGTGGGAGATAATCAGAGGAAGTAACTGGAGGTCATCAGCTGAGCTAGGAGTGACATTTCTCAATTTCCCACCCCTTACAGCCATAGCACTCTGCCTCTTCCTCCTTGTTCTGCAAATATTAAAAGTAATGTAGTGCTTGACTTTATTGTTGGTTATGAACAGATCAATCTAATCAAAAAGTTTAACAGAAACTAAAGAGCTTTTAAAAAGCTGTCACGAGGGTTCCCTTTCACAGATGGAAATGTTGAATGGTGAGTGAAAACCTGGGGAGACACTGGAAAAGGAAGATCTGGTTGGGGGTTAGAGAGCATCAGATTGTACATGTCTGTTTTACAGGATCAGGCTTTGCTGCCTGTTTCCATTTGCTTGAATAAATGGGAGCATACAGTAAATATTTGTCAGTAAACAACAATATGCTGGCTGGCAGAGCATGTGTGGAGGCAGGAAAGGTCGTTGCTGCCCTTCCAGAGCATCACTGCATTTCTGTTTGGCCTCAGACCTGCGTTATAGACCAATAAAACCCTTCTCCTCCCGTGGCCTTTCCCCTCTGTGCTGTCTGTGTCTTTCTGCCTGAACTGGTACTGTAAAATTGATAAACACAGCATATCAGTTTATTTGCTGTTCCATATGTAACAAGCTGTTAAGGTTAGTGTGGGATTAGTTTTATCTCAGTTTCTCAGGATGCAGATGATGACAGTTTTTCCTTCCCTGTGATCAGGGAACTGTTCTCTTGGTTGTTTCTTTACCTTTACCACAGGGCCCAGGGCTCCTGCAGCCCTCACACATTGTCATACCCCATTTTGGAGTGTCTCCTGTGCAGGTGTGTGGGGTCAGAGCAGATTCCTCAGCCCTCAGTGGGGCACACTGACCTGCAGAGCTTGGGTGACCCTCTGGTCTGACCCTGCACAGGGCAGAGGCAGCTGGAGAGGCCCCCTGAGCCTTGGGACATCACACACTGCAGCTTCTGCTGCTTTCCATGCAGCCCCCGGCCTTACACTCTGCTCAAAGAGAGATGAAAACTCCAACAGTGAAGCAGTGAAAGCTCAGTGAAGTGACAGATGCTGCCTGGTGAGGAGGGAAGGCCCCTCTCCCCTGACCACCACGTTCCTCCTGCCGCACTGCACCTTCCTGAAGAGCACTTTGGAGTGTTTACCTGTGTCTCCTGAGAAACAAAGATTACAGGGACCACCCCTTCTCTGAACACTTATGGAAAGGAGTTAAATGTGCTTTTTGTCTTGACCGTGTTACTTGGTAGCTGCTCTGAAGGAGCAAAAGGGCTGATGGCTCAGTGCACTGCCCAGGTCTTGGTTTGGCCCTTGGAGATCTCTTGGGTCCTGCTGTGCCCGTGGACCAGCTTTGGACCACACAGTTCCATCCAGGAATGAGGCTCGTCCTCCCAGCACACTGCTCAGAGGTCGGGTGTATCCAAAATGAATTGTATCAACATTGGCAGGGCCCCTAACAAGTAGGTGTAGTCATATAAACTGCATGAAAAAAGATGTATTTGGTCACTCTGGTTATTGTGGGGCTGATATCTTTTTAATTGTAGTGAAAGAAATACAGCACAAATCAAACAATGATTTATATGTTGATGCTTTGAGTAGCATTGTGCTATTGTACTAAGTAATGGTTTTGTGAGGCTTGTGTTTTATTTCTGAGTATTAAGAGGATATCCTTTGCCAAGGGTAAATGTTTTTCACATTGAAATGTCAAAACTTGAAATATATTCAAAAATCCAGATCTGCATGCTGTGTTCCTGTGAGGAGAGCACTTATAAATGGAGGTCTGGTGCTATGATGGGACGAGGATATCGAGCAGCACATTGAATATAACAGAACAATCTGCAACTTGGAGAGGTGAAATGTCTGTTCTGCAAAAAGATGCTTCAAGAAAATCAGTAATTCTTCTGTTTCCTCCTTCATAAGGCCTGTCCTTTGTCAGTCTCATATCAGTTGGTCAAGATAAGAAATTCATCCATTGTACACTAATCACTGATTAACTGATTCTATTCAAAAGTTGATGCTTTAATGGAGAAGAGTTTTACACCTGCTGGAGAAAAGATCCAGGGCAGGAATGGAGGTTGCAGCATCAGCCCAAACATGCCTGGGCTCTGCAGAGATTGATGATCCCACCAAGAGAGCAAACTGTGCGTAATAGATAAACACCAAAACACAGCCAGGGCTTTGAAAGGGTAATTTTTCAAAGCTCTGAAGTCACAGTTACACATAAAGCTTCCACAGGACTGCAGTGCTCCATACAAATAGTCCTGTGGCGTTCTTTGACTTTCTGGGACTGAGGCCAAATTTTGCATAACTACTTAAACAATAGGGAAATTAGAGAAGAAATGAGAGAAATGAGGAAGGACAACGATAAGCCAGTTAATGAGCTAAGTAGAGGAAATATTCCATTACAACTGTTTTATGTAATGGGGATAATACACAGTTTTTTAAGCAAATTATTTCTCTTAAAACTTTATGTTAGAGACAAATGCTGGTTCTTGATGACTAGAGTGAGAGACTTGAACAGCAGATAAAATAGAACACTGACCTTATCTAAAGTACTGAAACATGATGGTTTAGTTCTGGAATCTTGGTGGGAAAGTGCTACCTGCACAGCTTGTGTAAATGCCTCTGCTGTTGGGATGCCCAGAGCCACTGCAGTGTGTGCCAGGGGAGGTTCATGCCCAGGGGAGGGGCCTTGTTTGCAGGATGTGTGGGGTTTTGGCTGTAAGCTCAGGAGCCATCGATCAGGATCCAGGGTCTGGATTTAACGGGTCCCTTATCCTTGGATTTATGTGCTTTGCAGAATATGGGCTTTAGTTCATCAGCAGCAGAAGAGGCAGAGATAGGAGCTGTGTTTCAGTTACCCAGGAGTTCACTGGATGGCAGCACTCCTCCCAGACCCACCCGGCAGATGTTGCTTTGGCAAAGCTGGCAGGGTGGAGTGGTTGGAAGGGCTGTGTGAGCTCCTCCCTGGCAGTTGCTGCAGTCTGAGTTCAAAGGCAGCGCTGTCCTGCTCCCTGGCCATTGCTGTCAGATGAGAGAAGTGTATGAAAATGTGTTGATTAGGGCAATAACTGCCTTTTTCAGTTCTTCAGTACATTTTTGACTTAATAAATCTTGCACTACTTTGGCTCAGAGATGATGTATATCACAGTGTTAGACAGGAGTGTTTGATCTGTGGATTTTGGCCTCAAACATGGGTTCATTGTGGAAGGATGATGATACTTCTCTGCTATGGTGTTGATTCATACTTTTTTTCCCCAAAACTGTGAGCTGTAACAAATGGCAGGAGCTGTGAGGTTTGGTGGAGAGAGTCCTGGGGACTTCATGACAATCAGTGGCCTCAGCTGGGCCTGGGGGAAGCAATTACATCCAGCCTGTGTCCAGGAGGACATGGGTCTGTGATCGAGAGCTGTGGGGTCTGGACATCTGAGTCCTGAAAACAGGAGTGCTGGTCTGCAGTGCTCCTGGTGCCTCAGCCTCCATGGCCCAGCTGCTGCCACGCTCCTAAGGGAAGGAGTTCAGATAGAGCCAGCAGAGCTTTCCCTTTTCCAAAGGGAGAGCCTCAGAGGCATGTTTTTGGGCTGCAGAGGATGCCATGGAAAGCCCAGGGAGCCTGGAAAGGGTAAAGGAGAACAGTGAGAGCGTGAGTGGAACCTGTGTAAGGTTTGCTTCAGACGAGAGCCCTCCTCCGAAGGCAGGACGATGAACCACGGGCGCGTGGTTTGAAGAGGAGGTCCTGGGAAGCCAGGGAAGGCACTGTGATGCACAGGTAATCTTGGATATCACCCAGTGCTTGGGCTGTTCTAGCAGTGAGCTCATCCTGTTCATCACAGGCAGGACACAGTGGAAGCAGGATTGCAAGATGGAGAAAACTATTTTACCTCTCCTCAACTGGGCACTCACCTCCAAGTGACATTGGCAAAATGAGACAGGCTGGAGCTCATTTCTCATGCCAGCATTGAGGGGAAATGCCCCGGGCTCGTGCAGAGGCACGTCCATGAGGCAGGGCGGGATGGACGGGAAAGGCGCTGGCTGCTCACGCGAGAGCTGTGTCTGCCCCAGCACAGACAGGGTCAAAGGGCCGTTTGCTCCTCTCAGTTCTAGAACAAGACATGTCACTCACACTTATGTCAACTTTTTCCTCTCTGTCTGAGAGTTGTGTGCTTATCTTAAAAAAAAAAAAGGAGGGGTGGAAATCAAACCCCACTGATGGTCAAGAAAGGAAGAGCTGACTCTTGGCTGATTGTCCATAAGGGCTCGGGGAAACCAGTCTTGCAGGAACGTGGAGCTGGGGAATGGCCTGAGTCACTGAAGCTGTACTTTTCCCAACGTGGAGCCTTGAATAAGAGCAGAAACTGAAACCTCTCCTCACCCTGGCACAGGATGCTGGCTGCATCTCGAGCAGTTCAGGTGCAGAAATTTAATGGTTTTGCTGTAAAAATTGACTCCCCTGGAAATGATCTGTAAAATCTTGGGAGAGTAATGACCTTTAGTAATGAAAAGGACAGAAAACCTTGTGGGAATTTGTCTTGGATTTGGAGTCTGAATAAAGTCTGATGATGTTTTGCTGTGCCTGGCCTCAGTGTAGGTAGGTACCTGTGGGGTATTGAAAAGGCAGAAAATAACAATGACATTAACAAAACTGTTCTAAATTCTGTGATCTCTGTGACCCCTCTGGGCTAAAATGTATAGAAACAATCTCCACAACAAGGCAGCTGTTTGTTTTTTAATTCATATTCTTCCACTTCAGGGCTAATCATTAAATGCAAAGAGGGGGGAGGAGTTTTCTTCAGGGGACGAAAAAGAATTAATTTAAAATATGAATTCACTTGGTGGTCAAAACTGTTTTTGCGTAGTTGGTAGTGTTTTTTGATAATTGCTTTTCAACTGTGGCATATTTAAGCGTGTTTTTTTTAAAAAATTTTCAGACACTTTTGTCCCCTGGCACGTGGCAGAAAGGTGTATAATTACCTCAGCTCCAAATCCTGCCTTCCTTGGGCTTTGTAACCCAAACTGGTGTCTGGGAGAGCCGCGATGCAGAGAACTTCAGTGGGGGGCTGCTGGGGAGCAGTGGGATGTTGGAAGGAATCCTGAAAAAAAGAGCTTTTAGCTACAGCTGGGAAGTTCAGAACCCTGGTTTGTACAGTTACTGCAGCCCCTCAGTGTCTCGTTGCAGTTAGGACAGAGGAGTTAATTGGGTTCTCTGGGGACCCTCTGATGGCCCGTTCACAGCTCCACGTGTAGGCCAAGGGGGAACTCGCTCCAGGACATTTTGTGCTCAGTTTTAAAAAAATTTGGTAGGCACAGACCAAGGATTCCACATGTAAATTCTGAACAAGCAGTATTGGTTTGAGTGTTAGCCAAGTTTTCTCATTTTTATTGTTTTGCGGTGGCAAACGCGGTGGGTGATAAATGATGATAATGCTGCGGTTTTCAAGGCAGGGAAGTACATCATGTTCAGGCCTCAAACCTGCTCTTTTTCTATTTTAGGGGACTAAAAGCACACAAATAGCCCTATGTCCTCCCCACTTCTTTTTTTAAATGTAATTGGAACATCAGAGTAGTTTGGAAATATGATAATAACTCATTCCCTGGGAATCCAGTTTGTGCACCAAAAATGAGCTTTTGATGGACTTTTAATTCTGAGAGTAAAAACAATGCTGAGCTTCAAAACTTTCCCCATCCATTTTTGGTGTCTTTTTCTATTATATCTGTATGACTGTATGTGCACGAGTTAGAGGGTCCTCTAACATGGCTCTGTTTGTCCACCTGAGTTCCTGTTGGTGGTTCTGTATTAGTTATTGCCACAGTAACAGCTGATGACTCTCACTTCAGAGAGCAGACAAAATGGCAAAGGGTGAAAAAAATCCTGCCATCTTCTAGAAGTTGTATGTCATTTATTGATTTATTGAAAGAAAAGCTTCTAGAAAAGAAATGCACTTTACCTACACTTTACCCACCAAAGCATCTTGCAGATCCTCTCCAGTGAAATTGCCTGGTGCCTGGGAATGCAAAGCTGTTTAGATACCACTAAGGAGACATGAACAGAGAGAATTGTCTTTTGTGTTCAGTAATGACATTGAGACCTGGGAATAAGTAAAAATTAAGCAATGCAGAGACAGAAGTTCTTGGCCTGTCCTGTAGGTTGAAGTTATTTCTCATTGCCAGTGCTATGAGAGGGGTTTGTCTCATCCACAGGTTCTGCTGCCACTGCCAGTCGAGCCCTGCTATAGATGTTGCTAAAATAATTTACATCTGTTTTATTTTCCCCTTCAGCACCAATTCGGACATTTTGGCAGATGTGGAAGAGTCTGAGACGTGTTCAGTGTCCTCTGACAGGTGAGTGGAATATCCATGCACTGAAGTCCTTGCGATCAGTAGTTTGCAGTTGGTGGAATTCTGGAAAAACAAATGCCTCTGGAAAGTCAGGTTCTTGGAGAAACAGTTGTGGGAAGCAGGATTTTGTCAGTGAGTTTGAATCCTTGAGAAATAATACTTGGATGCTCTAAGAATCCACAAATGCCCAGTTGAAGATCATTATTCTAAGGTACACATGAGTATAAATATATATTTTAATTGAGAAAAAAATGAGGAGACTGATTTTTATGGAAAATTCAATCTGATCTTCTGTTGTATTTGAAGTTCCACTGTTGGCAGAACTGTATATAAGGCTGACAAGTTGAACATGCTGGAATCGAGCATCTGTTTTGAAGTGGGAAGAGTTCTTGTTGCTGACATTAACATCTTACTTCTTTAAACCAAAAATCCCCTTCTGTTACATGTATGTGGTCATAGACTGGGGCGGCTCTTAAAACTCCCTATTAATGGCTGTGGAATTCAATCCAAGATGAGAAATGTTTGTCCCAGTTCAGTGTGTGTTTAGCCATGTCCTGCAGAGACCTTTTTCCCTGTGCTTTTGAAGTATTCCACTGAGAGACAGTTTGGAGTTAAATGCTCTGTAGTTAGTTATTAAAATAGTTGACTTCCTTTCTCTTTGAGCAAAGAACATGCCTGACTCCATTAAAATCACCTCTAACTCTTCCTTTCTGGAGGCTCAGTAAGCAGCAGCTCCCCAGCAGCACAGTGCTGTGTGTTAACCAGGCTCACTGTGGCAGGACACCTCACTGCTCTCAGGAGAAGGCATTTGCTCCATAAGCTGAGTCCTTCAGCCACAGTCAGTCTTTTTTCTCTGGTCTGTGGCCCCCATTCCCCAAGTTGAATCTTCGAATCATCTCCTGTTCCCCCCATGAACTACAGTTATTTATTACTCTATGCTGTTGGCAACTTAATCTTTATTGGTGGACAAGTAGGTGTAAATTCAGGTTGAGAAACAGAGTGAGGTTTTAATCCCTCACATATAAATTAAGTTCCTGCTCCTGAGCAGTGTCTTTGTGCAGCTATGTGTTGATAGTGACCTGCTTCTGGCAGCAGCTGTGGATGTGAATAGTTCTGTTGATGCCAGCGTGTTGCTGCACATGGCATGGGACAAGTGCCTGAAACTTGGCAGGTTCAGGGCTCCAGGAGATCTAAATTCCAAATTGCCTCAGGCAACAAGTGCTTGCTTAACCCACTCTGGGGTCTGCAGGTGACAGTGGCAGTCTGTTAGTGATGGTTTGGGGAGAAATACAGCTCTCATTTTTGTGACAGTGTGAGTGGGGAGAGCTGGACAGGGCCATGGATCCACGTAGTCCCTCCCTTTGGCACTCAGGGTGCGTGTGTTCAGTCACACTGCCGAGGTACCAGCTGGATCTGGCAGAGCTGGGATTCACACAGATCTCCCTGGGTGTGGTTAGTGGTCTCAGGGATGTGCGAACTCCATTTCCATCGTGGTACAGCTCTGAAACACGAGTTGTTCCTACTAATCTCTTTATTATATCGTTACCTGTCTCATGACAGTCAGCAGATGTGGACTTGGGCATCTGAGAGTTTTCCACTGTTATTTTCATTTGTGAATTCCCAGTTTAAGTCTAATTAATAGTCCCTGCAGGATGGGTTCAGCCTAGCAGATGGTATAAAACAGAGTGTATTTATAAGAAATGTTTAATTAGGAAAAGCTGTTGACAGATGAGCGGCATCTTTCATGTCAACAATAAGTGGAATTTTAAGCTCCGAGGCTGAATGATGGAAATCAGCTGCTTCATTTAAATATGGCTAATTTAACAATTTTTTCTTTAAAATTAACTCTGTGACTAAAAAGAAAACACTTGTTGAGTTTCCAGTGGAAAATTCTTTGTCCATAAATGAGGAGGGTGTCTGCAAAGCTGGGAGTCCTGTGCGCTTTCGTTCAGGGGTAACCCTGACCAAGCCCTTGTCCTGTGCCTGGGTGACTGTGCCCCCGAGGAGGACAGTGACTCAAGTTGGCATTTTCTGATAGAACATCATCATGGTTTTTTCTCAGCACCAGGGGCTCTTCTCAGTTATGGACAAGGAATCTGGGAGGTTGTTGCTCCTCCTTGTATTCCAAACTGGTTCCTGGGGACAGGAGGAGAGGCACCACGACACCGGGTTTGTGGGTGTTGTTATCTTCTTCAGCTGAGAAGGCAGAGCAATATTTCCCCATCCCTGGAATTGTCCAAGGCCAGGTTGGACAGAGCTTGGAACACCCTGGTCTGGTGGAAGGCGTCCCTGCCCATGGCAGGGGGGTGGGATGAGCTGAGCTCTGAGGTCCTTTCCCTGCCCATGGCCAGGAACACGTGCGTGTGTGGTGCCCCTGTGCTGCTCCCAGTGCTTCAGCAGGGTCATGTGTGCTGTGTTTAGGGCACTTGCAACCCCCTTTTTTCCTTATTTTCCTTTTTTCCAGCAGCAGCAGCAGCTCCCTGGCTCTAACAGTGATCAGGAGGAAGTCGCAGCGGTCGCGGATGCCGGAGAATGATGGAGTTCTTCCCAGGAGCAAGCGGAAGAGGAGCTAGTGCTGCAGGGATGGGGAATCCTCAACGCTGGGAAACACTGCTTGGCTTTTTCCCATCCTCAGTGTGTCTGAATACTGAGTAAAGCGCTGAATTTATGCATCACTGCCATTCCAACTGCCTTAATGACAAGGCTGGTGGGTTTGTCCACAGCACTGTGGCCATTTACCTTTGAGATTGGGCCCGGGGTGCCAGAGCCCTGTGGGAGTGTGAGCTGGCTCCTGTCCCTCGTGTCCCCTCACCAGTGCAGGACTGTGTGTTGCTGCTGCTCCTGCTCATACCCCGTGGAAACTCCTGGAAGCAGCTGCAGGACAGTGTTTTGCTTGGGTTCGGGCAGGTGCTGGTGCCCCAGTTCCCTGGTGCAGCTGGGGAGGTGGGGGGAGGCAGAGGGATGCTGGGGGATTCTGCTCTACAGAAATAGGCTTTTTTATATATGTCTGTGTCAAATTGCTCGGTATTATGTTTTGTTATTTTGGTTTGAAGTAATGAAACTGGAAGGAAGTTGGAAGGTCATTGGACACAAAGTATTCTAGCTTTAAAATAAATAGTAATGTTGAAAAGTCTGGTCTTCCTTGGAAGGTAGTAGAATTTTGCAATGAAATAAAGCAATGCAAGAAAATGAAAGTAAATCTGAAGACCAGGGGACGTTTTTAAAAATATGGCTTGTAAGCAAAATACATCCCATGAAAAATACTCACAGGTGCTTCTGCTGAGCCCTGAAGCTTTGGTCAGAGCCCATCAGGGGAGCTTGGCAAAGAAGGCACAAAATCTGGGTAAAATTGAGAGTTGTGTGCCAGTTGACTTCAGACTGTAGCTGGGCCTGGGTGTTTGGCATTTAGAAATATTCCTCCTCAAGCTGTTGTTCCCAGGAACATTTGTGTTTGGAACGGGCTGAATGACGGCAAATATAAACCATCATAACTGCACGAGGTGAGGAGGGGCAGAGGCAAAGCAGGAAGCTGACTGTGTTTGTTTCATTTTTGCTAAACAAAACCTTTTGAAAGAAAATTTTTGGTGTCTGTTCTAGGGCTGCCTTTTCATCACAGTAGCTCACACAAGGCATTGAAATTGGGTGCAGTTGGCCAGGGAGGAATAAAGATGTTTATGTGTGGAATGGCCATGGAATCGATGTGGATGGGGTTTGCATCAGCTGCTGGGTAGCCCTGGAAGGGTTTGCTGGTGTGGTTTACTTCTGTTTGAGTTAGCAGCAGAGTTTTCTCTAATATGGTCACGATGTCCCCTGTCACACACAGAGAACAGCCTGGGAAAGCTCTGTTAGTGCTGCTGGCAGATAAACCCTGAGCTGGGCTGTCAGCAGTGTGGTTTTGCTGCTGACAGAGCCTAAGGGAGCATGTGCCCACCTTGCCTAAGCTCAGCCTGGAAATGGCACACCAGGTGCTGCACAAGGTCCTTACCTCGATCTATAGGGAAAATTGGGGTCCTGCAATCTTAACTCCCAGGGACTTCTGCCTTCAATCCAGGGAACGGGCTGGAAACGTGTCGGATCAGCAGCAGATCCTTCCTGTCTCCCAGAGTTAATTTTGCAGTTAATGGCAGTAACTCCTGAGGTGAGAGAAAAATATGTTTCCCTACCCAAGAAGGAGAAATAGTCTAATTTAGTAAGTATGGGCTAGAAAGTACTCAGAAAAAATCAATATTGGGCAAGTGCCCAAGGGGGAGTGAACCCTCATGAGCCGAGTGCTGGGGGTTCTGTTCTTGCATCCTGGTGCCCAGGGACTGGTGGGGGGTTCTGTTCTGTTGTCCTGGGTGCCTGAGGGGCTGGCAGGGGGTTCTGTCCTGGCATCCTGGTGCCCAAGGGCTGGCGGGGATTCCGAGCAAGACAAGAAACAGCTCCTGGACAGCAGCGTCACGGTCTGACTGCTGTGGTGACCTCAGGATATGTCCCCTGTGGCTCTTGAAGAACCCAAGGAAGAGTGTTGTCCTTGGAGCTGTGCTGAGAATGTGTACAAAGCCATGAGCTTTGGGAATGATGTTTTCCTTTGCTCATTCAATCACACTGTGGTTTCTCCAGCAGAGCTCGGTCCCTCTGTGGTCCCTCCTGGAATCCACTTCCAAGGATTCCTGTCTTGGCAGCCTGGGCAGAATGGGGAGTTCCTGTGGTTCCTAAAGCACCTCGTGGTGAAGAGGTTGGTTTGGGTTCAGAGAGCCCTCAAACACTCCCATGGTGGTGTGTTTGCTGTTGAGTTTGCAAACAGCCCTTACCCTTCCCAGTCTGGGGTTTACTGGATGACAACCTTGCTGTGCTATGAGAAAATGCTTGGATTTTCATGGGGGTGTTTTACCTGCTGGAATACAGCTCAGACAAAGGAAACCTTGAGAGGAGCTGCCCTCCAAAGCAGTTCAAAAGGCACCTTTATAAAAAAGAAAGAAAACACCCTGAAATATTTCTCAAAGTTTGACCTTTTTATTAAACTCCCTGAAGATTTTGGAGCCTGAATGTCAGCCACGATCCCAGACAGCATAGGCAGAGGCACACTGAAATAGTCCCCCCAACGTGGTCCCAGCAGCACTGGCAGCTGTCAGACACCTCAAGTGCCAAGGGATGGGGACAGGAGGGTGACTGTGTTTGCTGCTGTGTCTCACCTGATTTCTCATGGATTTGGGATTTTTTTTGCTGAGTTTTTTTTTAGTGTTGCTGCTTGGAAAAACTGCTTGGCTGCTGTATTTAGTGCCATTGATAAGAGCAGCTGAAGGAAGTGTGTTTATTTCAGCAAAGTCCTTCATGACTGAAAGGAAATGACTTGCAAGTAGTTAAAAATCGCTGAAAACTGACAGCAACTCACAGATTCATTCACTGCTGACATGTGATAGTTTTTCTCATAAAAATTCTCTGTTACTCCTCAGAAAAACCCCTTGCCATGCACAACTGGGCAAACTGGGAAACCTTTGGTGTTAGAGCAGCAATAATACTGTAAAGAGCTTTCTCCAGGCGTTGGCAAAGCAGCTGCTGGTGCGCGGGGGGAAGGTGCTGGTGCGTGGGGATGAGCAGGACACGAGTCCTACCCCAGCACTGTTCCCTGCGCTGGTGTGGCTGCAGGTAAGGCCATTGCCACTGACAATGAGCTGAAGAGCTGCTGCAGGAACTGGGGCGTTAAGATAGCGAGACATTTACTTGGTGTAGTAGGAGAGAGAACAGCCATGACACGTTAAATATGGATGTAAATCAAACTGGCTCCCTGACAACCTGTGGAGATTCATTTCTTTATATCTCTTACTGTTGAACTCACCATTTAAAGTCCAAATTGGTGACCTTTACCAGAGACGGGGCTTTTCCCCCTCTCTTTTGTAAGGAGCTGTGAGTTGATGCCAGAGGTGGGTGATGGTGTTTGTAGAGGTGACAAATCTGAGCAGGGCGTGTGGATGTGACACAGTGGTTGAGGTGCTGGGGGAGGCTGCATGGAGCAGACACACTGGACAATGTGGAGGCTTAGGAAAAAGCATGGATTTGATGGGCCTATGCCTCATTCCCACCCTGACAGAGCGGGTGCCCAGGTAGGATCCAGCCTGTCCTGCCAGACACAGCTCCAGGGCCAGCTCCAGCCCCAGGCGAGTGCCAGGGACTGCCAGGTCTGGCCTTTGCTGGGAGTGGCTGCTGATCCCCTGGGTGCCATAAATGACTCTTGCTGCACATCTCACCAGCCCTAAATTCGCAGAAATTGGATAACGTAAGGGAAAAAACAACAGCGAGGAAGGAAACGCAGTGTCCTCCCCACGCTGTCCTGTCCCCTCGCTCCCCTGGGCAGCTCCCTCCTCCGTCACCAAGTCAAGGGGCAAGTGGGAGCAGTTGGGGACTTGTGAACAGCCAGGCTGGGGACAGAAGTCCCGGCACGGAGGAGCTTTGCAGTGGTGATGCACAGTGAGACGCTGGGTCGTGTCCTCCTGCCCAGCGTTGCCGTGGCTGAGCTGCGGCCCCAGCGAGAGGGGAGGAACCCCACAGTGGTGGGTTTTAAGTGAGTAATCATGAAGTTACTGCATTCTCCTTGCACCTTTTCATTTTGTGACTGATGTTTGTTACATCACCCACAGCATATGCCTTGTGCTGGGAGGAGCGTGGTGTTGCAGGGACCCTCCATCCCACCCTCTGCCAGGGATGTGGGGTCCTGGGGACCCTCCATCCTGCCCCACTGCGGGTCCAGCCCCTCTGCAGCCATCCCCAGCCAGCAGATCCCTGACAGCTGTGGCTCTCTGGGGAGTTGGGAGCAGGGAGAAGCTCCTGGGGGGCCCACAGTGGTGCTGGCAGCCGGGCTGGGGTGATGCCAGGCTATGTGGGGGGGCTGCCCCTGGAAGGCTTTGGGAACGGCTGCTTTGGGCGGCGAATCCATTCAGAAGGAAATTAATTTAGTCACAGAGCAGTCCCTCAGGCCAGGGCAGGAGGGCAAAGCTGGAAACAAAATAATCACAGACAATAAAAATGTCCTGTTCCCCCAGCCCAGCAGTGGAGCCATGTGAAAGGCAGCGGTCCTGGGAATGGGAGAGAGCAGGAGTGGAGTCACCCTGACAGGCATGGGGCTCCCTGTGTGCTCTCACCCCATGTCCCCCTCCAAATCAGATAGCTGGGGGTTACCTGGTTTTGCTTCAGGGATGGCTGTGCTAGGGTGTTTTCTGGTGTTTTCCCAAAAGTTCTGGTTTTGCAGGAGAACTGCAATGATGGGCCAATTCCTCCAGCCTTTGGTGGATGTTCTCGTCACAAATACCAGAACAGCAGCTGTGTTTGGTCGATGCTTCAGAATCTGAACAAGATGAAAAATGGCTTAGTTTTCTGAAAGTTGGTCTGGGATCAGGTTATTTGAAAAATTTCCACCTCCACTTTTCTCACAGGGGAGAAAAGTTTTTTTCCCAGATAATGAGGGCTTTTACAGCAAGGATTCGCTTTAACTAATGCTGACCTTTTGGGTTTTGTCTATTGTCTTTCCAGCTCTAATGTTTTGTTGAATTTCTATGTTTTGGGGAGTTCACATTCTCTAAGATAAACAGTCCACACTCCAACCCCCTCTGCCATCCCTGGGGGATCTGTCTGGTAACACTGTGGGCTCAGGGAGCGAGTGTGTCTGGCTGTGGGTAGGAAGAACCCTTTCCTAGGCTGAGATCTGAATGCTGGCTCTCTTCATAGCCAGGTAGTTGGTTCTGGTTGCAGGTCCCAGCCCAAGCCCAGCGCCCGCTTGGGTTAAGGGCCATCGACCATCCTCACAGAGGACAGAGGGAGCAGATTTTGCTTGTTTCCCAGAAAAGTGAGCCTCTCCCTGGGGATGCTCCATGTGCTGGCTCTGCTCTCCCATTGGATCCTGTGAGCCACCCTTGCTGCTGGCTGGAAATGGGCTCCAGCTCAGCGAGCTGCTCCAGCTGGGACACGGTGGGGCTTGGAGCTGGTGCTGGGCTGTGCCTGTGCTGGGTGGGAATGAGGGTGTGGATCCCTGTGGGATTCCCATCATCACACTGACAGGGTGCTCCGGGCTGGCTGTGCTCTGACCATGTGCTGCCCTGAACTGGAGAGGTCCCCTTGCACCCCTGGGATGGACCTGCAGCAGCCGAGGGTGGGCAGGGGACAGGCAGGGGTCAAGGTCCCTCAGGGCCACTTCTCCAAGGGTGCTGTGTTGCTGACAGGAGTTAATAATAA